TTCCAATGGTATATCTGTCATGTTCAAAGGGTATTCCTGCTCGTCAAATATAGCTCAGTATACAAGTTTAAAGGAGTAGCAGATGATGCACTTAATAACAAATACACTGGATTAGTTAATTAGTTTTTTTTGTAAAATAATAAGGGAATGCTTGGAATGTCTGACACACATTCACAGAGAACATCACACGCACCAGGGGTTACTTAATAACAATATGTTGCAATAATTGTATATTAGGTATAATAAACACTGTCCTAAGTCACTAAAAGTGATCACAGACCTTTTACCGAGGTCATACATGAAGGGTCTATCCAACCACCCTCACAACATGCTGTCTCCAGAGCACTGTAAGGGTAGGTTCACACCTAGGCAATTCAGATGCCAAGCTGTTTTCGCGCGTTTTCGATCGTGCGACTGTTCATTGTAAACCGGGCGGTTGCTGCACATTTTTCAATGCATAGAGATGTCTATGGGACCCAAACCGCGCGACAACTGCCCGAAAATAGCTCCTGCACCTTGTCGCGCGACAGGCGGTTTTGGTCGCGCGACAAACCGCAAAAGTGTGAGCAGCCTCCATTGACTTCAATGTGAATCTGTGTTTTGCGCCGTAAATCGCCTAGGTGTGCACCGGCCCTAAATTCACCATACAGGTTTATGTGAATGAACTGGTGAGGGGAAAGAGGCTGACAATACCTTTCGGGTGGGTGGGGGGGCCACTGTTTGGTGTCATCAGCAGCAGCTGGCTGGAGAGATCAAGAAAGCCCCACAGACATGAGACTGAATGGAAAGGGCGACAGTAAATGAATGTCTATGGGAACCTCCGCTATAAACAGGATGCACACCTTGTCCTTATTCTCATAGAAAGTGAAAAAACAGCACCCAATTATTTTGCTGCGGTTTACCAGGTTTTTTTGCCAATATGCCTACATAACAGTCAAAATGTAGCAACAAAATCGGAAGACGTATGACTAAGTGAATGGCATTGGCTTAATATTGCTAATTTTCTTAATAAACCTGAACAACTTATCCTTATGAGAGGAACAAAAGTAATACAGCATCAGCTAGGACTGCAACCAACTAATCGATTCATCGATAATGAGAATTGTTGTCAACTATTCTCATCAATTAGTTGATCTGGAACCCCTAGTTCTCTCCTCCATGCTGGAAGCCAGTGTTTCATCGGCTCTGTGGTCCCTCTGATCCCTGCTGCTCCCAGACAAACAAGCACATAACGTAGACATACTTTCTACCCTTACTAAAAGGAAGTAAGCCACAATATTCCTACACCTGTCTGATTCCCATAGCTTTCCATAACAAGTAGGGAAGAAGGCCACTTTTACCCATATCTATAATGATGTGCCTGAGAATGTCTACTCTGACTGGAGAAGAACAATGATGGTACAATCTGCCCATATAACTGCTTCAAGAAGGTTCGGATAAAGTGCAGTTTTTTAATGTGGATTAAAAGAATACAAACTATGCTTAAAAGCCTAACTGAAAATACCAGAGTGGAATTAAGCACTATTCCCATGAGAAAATATATATGTTGGGAACTTGCCAAAAAAATGTGTATAGTTGGGGTTGTACCGTTTTCTTAGATGCTAGAGGACTTTGCCCTGGCAAGGCCTTGATCCACCCACATTGCCTCAAAATAATAAGAGCCCTCACGCATTTAGAGTTTTTCTACCAAATAAGACAATGTATAATATTTTACCAACCAAGAATTGTATTATTCATTTGTCAGGTCTTCCATTAAAAGAAACATATTGGTTCGGCCATGAAACCATATTGCCACTTCTCTGTAATGCACTTGCTGAGTGCCACTGCTCTTTAAAAGAGGAAGAACCAACAATATTGCATTGTATTCTGACAGAATAGGCAATGCAGCATCTGACGTTCAAAAAAAGTCATGCAAATGAACAAGCAAATTAGATAAAAATTAATGTCTACCGTGTACATGGCTTGAAGAGCTTCAACGAGCCACAAAAAGGCATACAATCCCTCCCAACCATTTGTTATATCAGATCCTAAAGCCAAACTACAGCCAAAGGTTTTGGACAGAATGGTAAAAAGATAGGATCTGTCAAGTTTCACTGTTAAGTAGACTTTCCCGCACTTCCTGTCTAATTTACAGTTGTCAGGGTGAACAGGAAGTAAGGGGAAATGTCTCCTATTAGGACCAATTCAGCAATAAATCATGTTTAATAGAGTGGGGAAGAATATGAGCCTCAGTCAGGACATTTCTAGCTCTCAATTCCCGTCCAGGTGTCCAACGTGAGTCTAAATAGGAGGTGAGGACTCAGAAAGCCATAACCATTTGACAGAGGTTACAGCCATTCCCAGGTCTCTATCCAAAACTTTAATAAATGTTTTGGCTGGAGTTGGTATATACAATCTCACTCCCAAGGCTTTGTAGAATTCCTGACATTCTAAAGAACTAGAGGAGTCTGAATCATCATATTTAATACAGTACTGTGTATGCAATTATAAAGCATTGATATAACAGAGATGAAAAAAACATATTCCTAAACCTTATCGATTAAAGCAAAGCAAAAGCAGTGCATAACCTATAGCAACCAATATAAAATAATCTATAAATTGAGCAGCTTCTGTGATCTGAAATAGGATTGGCTGCTACGGTTAATTGACTAAAAACATCCTTTTTGCGCCATTTACTGGAAAAGCAAAGACGTCATGGGTAACATTGTTATTAGAGTTTGAAACAGCACTCACAATAGCTTCCTATCATTCCGAACACATAGCTCAAACTACCAAATCTGTCACTGAAAGTTGGCCATACACATAGAAATCTGTGAACACAAACAAGTGATTCATCACCAGTTAACATATCCCGCAATGTAATACATACAGCATTGTTTTGCGCTTTGCGATAAACTGAAAGTGATGGTCAAAAAATATGGCTGATCAAGTATGATTAAAGAAGAACTCCGGGCAAATAAAATCTTAGCCCTTGAAGTGGGGCTACCTCAGCACGGCAAGGGTTAGGTAATCCTTTTGCCTAGGGAGCTAAAATAACAAAGTTATACTCACCCAAACTGCGATCCCGGCTTGCTCTTAGACCGGTCGCTTCAGCCTCGCTCCCCCTCCACTCCAGCAGTCTAAGGTTCAGTGAGTCATCACGTCCTATACAGCGTATAGACCGCGAGGACGCCGAGAGACATACCTTCGCTGGAGCGGAGGTGGATAGAGGCTGATGTGAGCGGTGTAGGAGCCTGCCAGGATTGTGGTTCAGGTGAATATATCTCTGTTATTTTAGCTCCCTAGACTCAAACAGGCACTTATATCTTTCAATTTAGAGTAATCGAGCGCAGAAGTCTTTATGCAATTATACAAGCACTTAACCCTTGCAGCGTGGAATTGTTAACATTTTATTTTCCCAGAATTCTTCTTTGAAACCAAATCGTTTACCTGTATATATGATTTTCGTCTCCGTCGCACACACAGATATTTGAGAGATCATAAGCGGACGGCAACATTTTGCTACTGCTACTGATACTGCTGCGTCAAAATCGATCAAGAGCTCTCTAAGTTGATCAAATAGAGGGTCTCTGTTTTGATTCAATTAGTCAGTTTTGTAGCATTGAATGACCGACTGAATGATCATATAGATATGTCTGTGGCTACCATTACAGGCAATGGCAAAGCCTGACATACAGCAGAGTTTAGAACAAACACCGACTACACATAGGATCAAAAGATGGAGAAAAGTGGGGGACACGTAGACCACTGCTGTGTCATCTTATTATTGTGTGAGGAGTTAACAACAAGAAGGAGAATCCACATTTATGTGACATGTGTCCACCTGACTCATTCATGGTTTCAAGCATGTAAACCCAATTACTAATATGCCATATAAACAGCAGATGTCAAACAATGCAGCAAAGAGTAAACATGGGGGATGTTGAAGGCTACAAGCACAGCAGAAAATCATCTTATAGGCTACATTCACATATACGCAGATGACGTATATCTGTCGTATGACAGATATCTGGGAAGTAGAAAGAAACTTGATGATCCCCAGATCCCTTTCTCCTACTTCAGATGTACCTGACTTTACATGGGCTTAGCTGTGTTTACATGCGTTCAGCCTTGTTTACAGTTTCCTGGAGCCACAGAATTCTATTTTCTCTAGGTAAATGACCAGGTTGAATGATATCATTAAGGGTTCATGCATATGGGTGTCTGAGCCACTATAGTGTAAACATCAGACTCTTTCTCATAGTAGTCAATGGCTGCATGCGGCTGTACGCTGGTATATATCAGTCCTTGCGTACAGCTGTGTATGCGTACAGACGTATATCAGTTTTTCTGTCTGTATTCATATGCTGCTGTATTCAAGTTCCTGGTGTGTACCTGTTTACAGCCATTGGCTTCTATAGAAGGCTGGACGCAGCACCTGCAGGGGGAAATACGCAGGTATTTACGTTGTACAGGCTCAGTTGTCAGATTCGGGCCGATATACATCTATGCATTGCGGGAAGGCATGCGTTAACGGCACATGCTTTGACGTGTTGCGGTGCCAATTTGAAGAGCATGCCAACACACATGTTGCAAGGTGCTGTAATGCATGGAAACCCACTACAGCGCATTGCTGTGTCCTGTGGGCAAAATCTTGAGACGTGTCCGATAACTGGTCGCTTTCGTGCGTCAGAAGCCTGCCTTAACTGAACGCACATTAATGCGTGGCATAAGGCCTGTGCTTTAGCGCAGCACACGTATGTAAATGAGCCCCATTAGCATTTAGAAATGTCCTGTTGGTCAGTGTGAATGCGGCCATAGACGATAAGTCAACTTGTATGTAAAGTTAGTACATATAGATTGCAGAGGAATAATAACATGAGCACTAAGTCCATGTAAACACTACACACGGATGAAGAACCAAACAGGTGGACCCATAGGCACCATTCCTATGACAAGCACATCATGGCACATCTATACCCCCCATGACAGATGACAGAGGTGGCAAACTTGGCGCTCACCTTGATGTTTTGATGCTTGGAATGGTGTCAGCACAGCAGCCCCATGGTTGTTCTTTTTCCAGCATATGAAATAAGAATGCGGCAGATCCCCGGGTGAAGAAGGTGCTCCGATCCTCGTCTGACTACACAGTGCACACACATAGACAGCCGTGACATTAGGCCCCCGCCCCCGCCTGTCTGATGGGCTCAATGCTAAAGTGGCGTCGCCTCTCCCCGGACTCTCCCCAGCACACACATACACTGCACTGATACTATAGCAGGCCCCGCCTGACTAGCCCGGAGCCCCCTCCCTGGGCCGCTTCCTTCTACTGAGCAGCATCATCGCATTCTAATACAGTACAACCAGTGTAGTCACACATGCTTGGATTGTGCCGCCTTCACTCGCTGCTCACCAGCTGCACCATCACTGTCCATGCACAATGACTACAGAAGAATGAGGGGGATTTATCAACACTGGAGAAGATGCCCATTGCAACCAAACACCTTCTAGCTTTCATTTTCTAAGCTTAAGTGCACAAACTGAAGAGAGAAGATGATTTGTTACTATGGGCAACAGCTCCAGATTGCCCCCCCCCCCCCCACCTTCGCAGCA